AAATCAGTCTATGCTGCAAACAACTTCAAAGCCATCAGTTCTGCTGACAACTGCTACCATAAATCCTTCCACCACCAGTCTTGCTGTATCAACAACCATTGATGGCAAAGGAAATGTAATTAAAAGAACAGAGATGAGCACTTGGCCACACAGCACAGCCTCGAGGTCCTCTGGTGGCACCATGTTACCGTCAGGGGTAGCAAAAGATGGAATAAATAACTCTACTGCAAGATTAAACAGCATCCCAACATCTTTAACAACATTTACAACAATGAGTGACTCTTTTGGAGTGACCAAAAGTGCTGCAGTCGCTTCTACCTCCACAGCAACACCAAGTAATGCCACGGACACCTACAGCAGCACTTTGGCTGTGGCACTCTCCAGCGAGAATTCTTCAGTCAACCCCACCAGCATCACTCTGACATCACCTGCGGTGAAGCAGGACACGTCTACACCCAACCCCACTGAGCAGGCAACAGAGTTGAATCAGAACTTCAGCAACCCTGCTACTGCATCACCTAATTCCAAAGATGTCAAGGAAAGTAAGTATCTAACTAAAATCCAACTGGTCTAATAAAATCATAATGCTGAAATAAGCCCTTTTTCTTCATTGAACAGGAGGCTTCATATGACGTGTGAATTAATAAGTGATGTAGTACAGACTAAAACTCACCCCTCCCAAAAAATAAGATAATTATTTGCTATTTACTTGTTTGTTTAACACTTCCAAGAGTGGGAGAACCTAATGACAGATACTGCCCATTCACACTGGAGTAGATCTTCCAAGCAGATGCGTAGAAATAACATTTGAAACATATAAAACATCAACTCATTGAAATTCAGAAACTTTTGTGACCAAAGATGACTTCTTATAAATAATTTCAAAGGAATTACTCATTGTGCATTTAATTATCAAGTTGAGTATGCGTGGGAAAACAAAGGAGCACAAAACTGTCATGGCACTTCTCTATCCTGCTGCTCTGAATCAGGTCTTCAGGAAAAGAAAAGGAAAGATTAGAAGATACAGTAATTTTGTGCCATTAATTAGCTTTCAAGCTTTTAATATAGGACTGAAAGGCTTATCCATCACATCCAGCAAAGTACAGCCTGTACTAAGAACTGAAGGAGCATCAGACTTTCACGTTTCCCATGACAGTTCTAATAATTAAAATGTACCCTGTTTTTAGATACTATGATTGAAAAGGAATGAAGGTGGGAGAGCAAGTTCAGTTCCAAGAAAAGCAGAATACTTCAAAGAAAAGTTTTAAGAAATCTGAGGAAAATCTTGGAAGAATGCAGTTCTGCTGCTAATCAAACAAGTGCAGAAAGCATTACTGGATTCCTTACCTTGCATACTCAAAAATTGGTACTCAAACTTATTCACTTGAAATTCAGAGGCTGCAATTTTAACTGCTGGCTTAAATACATCTAAATAATTACATTCAAAGAATAATTACTGCTTATTTCTTTAAGTAAAATGACAATGGTTGATTTTGTAATTAAACCTAGAACATTTTTATTTGACTAAAAACTTATACAGGCTTCTTTTTTATTTAAAAAAAAACAAACACAAAAACCAGTTATTCCCTTGAAAGTCAAGGACAGAGATGTCTATTTTCTTTTACAAAGGCAGAAGGTTTTGGCAGAGAGGCTCATTTAGTCATAGTCTGGTAAAGTGCTTCAGATCCTTAGTGAAAAGTCTCACTCCACAAAACCCTTGACTGCTATAAAGTGAGAGTGAAGTATCTGCTCTTACATATATATTACTCTCACTCAAACGTCTCTTCTTTCTTTCTCTCCTAGAGAAAACCAACAAAGGAGGAGTAATAGTTGGTATCATTGTAGGAGCCATTTTGGGATCTATATTAATTGGTCTGACTGGATATTTTATATGTGTTAAGAAAAGGTCTGACTCATTTTCCCACAGACGGCTTTATGATGATACAAGGAATGACCCAGGTGAGAAATATCATAAGTATTTTGAATAACAATATTTTTTTATTTCTGCCAGAGATGCTTAAATAGTCTGGTCTTATTGAATTAGTAGGAATTTTATCATTGACTTCCGTCAAACTAGTTTTCAACTGGCAGTACTTTATTTCTTTTCATTTTTAGCTTTATAGTTGACTCCCCCTAACTCTATGTCTCCCTCTTAAAAGTTTTTTTTTAACCTCTGAAATATCAGGAAATATCGTATCTAGCATCAGTAAATCTGTTCAAAGTACTGTGAGTGGCTTCAAAACAACAGCTCAAAATCTCTCCCAAACTTCAATAAAGTGAAAAAGGCTAGACTCCTTACTCATCCAGCTATGGAATGAGGGATGAAGCTGTATCTGGTTTTAGGAGCAAAAACATTTTTAAGAGGTTTAAACAGAAGTTTGCTTTTGTCTTCTCCATGAATATGTACAAACTTGTATTAATGTGTAAACACACCATCTCCAAACATTTATATAATGTTCCTGGACTTTATTTTCAAATGTTTAAACAAACACTGAGAGGCTAAACACTTTTTTTCTCATATGAAATCAAGGCAAAATAAACTGGCAACATGCCTTTCTGGCTCAAACGCAAGAGCTGAAAGCTGCTAGAACGTCACATTAGGAACTAGCTTTGAAAGTTGACCACCCAGTAGTACTGAACAGGCAGTACTGGAAGGACACGTGCTAATGACTTCAGAAGACTGTGAATTGGAGCCTTTACCTTTTGCTCCCTCACACGTAAGAAAGAGGTTAACTGGATTCAGCTGTGAGGAACTACTGAACCAAACCATGAAGGTATGGGGCTAGAGAATCTTTCAAGCAATATACAAAAAATAATTCCATTATCCTTTCAGTTCTCCACTTGGACAACTCACTTGGACCATACGATACGAGTTTTGGATGTGTGGCAGATGACAAAACCAGCACAGCAGACAAGGCAGAGGAAGACAAGGCAGGGTGGTCATCCGATGGCATTCCTATGGCTGACATGACACCACCCCACCCTTCACCATAACGCTTGCTCCAGATTATATTCTCAGCTCTTACCTACACACTTTCATTTTTTCCAAAATGACCTGGCAGCTGTTCCCTTATAGCTGTTACCGTGGAAACAATATTTTGGAAAGCAAGGGGAAAAATCACAAGGTACTCTGATAGGCAACAGGCAGGGCCCAGTAGCAGAGCATCGCTCTTCAGTTTTGTAATTTAGTGATCAACCTGCAGTTTTCCTGGAGGAATATTATACCTGCTTTCTTAGAAATTATACAGACAAATAGCACCCAGGTAAAATTCTGCCTTGTGTAACTTTGGTCAAGAACGATGAGATTGTAACAGAGTCAAATCCGACTAGGATTCGAAAGATATTTCAGCATCAATACAAAAAAATCCCAAACTTAACTCCCTTGAAATAAAACTATTCTGTCCAAATATAATTTCTATCGGAGAAATGACTCAGGACATTATTTTCCCCACTTTACACTTGTACTTTCCTCAGTGACAGTAACAAAAATAATTAGAATTACTTAGGTTACTCAGAGGTTGAAGTTTGCTGGGGAGAGGGTAATTACTACCGCAGACTACGTTTAACCTTTGAGTTAAAACCCATGCAGTGTTGCCATTCCCAGCGCATCGGACAGCAGACTGAAAATCTGAGACACGCTCATCTGTATCAGGTGAGGGTATCACTTGGCTGCTCGAAATTAAGAAAAATTTAATCTTCAGCTTTCATCTTCCTTAGCACATATTATGCCTTCTTTCCTGATAATCTTAAAGTAGTATCATAGAAAGAAAATTCCTCTTTACACCTGAGCCTTGGCCTCAGCTGAAAATAGAAAGAGCTCTCTCTAAGGAGAACTTGAAGATAGAGAGGAAGAGATGTTAAGAAGTTACAAGCCTCGTCTACATCAGTAAACACATAACCAAATGAAATGTATTTTAGGAATTTATGATACTAATTATTAAGCTATAAGAGCAAGATTAGGAGCCAATGAAGAAATCTCAATGAAACAAGCAATCAAAGTGTGCCCTTCGGTTATATTGTGCTAATTTTTAAGAATCTTAACTATGATTTTTTCATATATGTGCATGTGCTTGTGCTGTATATGTACCTCTTCAATATTTTGTTGTTTGTATATTGTTTTCTTCTTTTACCAGGCCAGCCTCCAAAATCTGTGACATTTGTTCATCCTTCACTTTAAGTTAGAATCATTAATGCTTACTCATACATATTACATAAATAAAGCTGCTGTGTGACACTTGACTCTATTTAAAATTGTAAATCTCTGGCTTGAATTCAGTTGTATGAGAACTGACGTTATTTTCTCAGAGTTTACACAGACAAACATTTACATTGGTAAAATTTATTATCTCGTTCCAATATCTATATTCCTTACTTTCCAGCAGCAAAATACTATTAGCCTCAGTAAAAGCTAATCCCATCAAACAGTTCATTCTGGAATTTCTCCTGCATGGCACTATGACACTGACCTTTTAAGAGAGGCAAGATTGTTCTTTTTAACTCCTGTTCAACAGTGGCCTCCATGGATGCCACCCTGCTTGGCTTTGGGCCTCAGGTTGCGATGTGTGTGATGTCAGAATGAACATATGAGATTTTTTTTCAGACTGAGAATGGGAATATCTCAATCGCTGGAAGCATTTAACATCAGATCTTTCTTGTACTTCCCTCTGCTTAGCTCTCACAAAGAAATTCTTGTTTATTACATGAGAATTCTCTACAAAACATGATTCTTTTATGTTGATTCTAGATCAGTAAATAAGCCTGCATGTTTGCCTCTAAAGACTGCTGTCTGTGTGATATAAAATTCAGGCTTAAAGACATTTAAGATGCTAAAGAGAGTCATCACATTAACAACAAAAGGTATTATTTTCACCCACTACTAGCACAGAAATTGAAGGTGATGAAAACAGGAAAAGTTTGTGTGACAAAATCATAATCCTTCTTTAAATTTTATCAAGAGCTATAACCTTCCTTTTTCCAGTAATCATATAAAAGGTACTTACCCCAAATTGCCATGAAAATAGCAAAGAAGACAGTCCCTCCATTATCAAACAAATGTGTAACCTGAATAGAAAACAAACACGTCAAGTACAAATAATATTGCCACCTTATCTTTTGCCCCAAAGAACCCCAGCATACAGAACTGGTGGTCAAAACTAAAAGCTGAGCATTCTAATAAGAAGTTCCACTTGCATATTTCTTAACTCTTCCTTCCTTGCATATTGTCTACCAAAGTTTGTTCCATTTTGTCTTTCAGTATAACTTGAACTCTGGTTTTGTGGACTGTCTCTTCATGCACCTCCAGTCAATTTGCTTCACAGACATGAAGAGCTGCTTCGTCCATGTCCAGACAGGCTACAAATTCCTCCAGAGTTCTTCTCATACACTGGGTCAAATTTAACCTCAATGTTTTATATTTTAGGGGTTCTATCAGCTTAAATAACTTCTGTATGCCCACTTTTCTTTCTCTGTATATTACTTAGTTAATGTCTCTTTTGATTCCATTTTATTCTTCTCCCAAGCTATCTCCCAATTTCTCTGCAGGTAAGAATAGTATATAATCCCTTTTATCCAGAGATCTCAGATTTTCAAACTGTTAACACATTCTCCTTAAAAGGCTAGTGCCCCTACAAACACTAAATAAATTTTAAATATCACACACCTCTCACAAATATAATTCTAAACTGTGCACTTAATTCTTCCTCATGCATACTCTCCTTTTTATTGAATTTATCCCTTACTCTTTATTACAAGATTTTCCGGGCAGAACAGATATTCTGCTGCAACGTTCAAGGCTTACCAATAGAAAATGAGAAACAATTAGTTTTTACATGCCTACAGATCACTCTAAGCAAGTCGGTGAACCTGATGTGCCACTTATTATCAAAACATCACTATGTCACAGAAATTCAGACTGTTTAATGTTCAAGACATAACATGAAATAGTATTTAGGAAGCTGAAACTAAGGTCAATGTACTTCCAGTAGATTTAAGGTTGCCAGTTTACAGCAATGTAATTTATTCAGGGATAACAGACCTACATTTCTTCTAATGAAAGATGGTTTAATATCTTGCTTAGCATTAGTTAGCAAAGCAGAGGACTCAAATTCCTATTAGAAAAAAAAGCACAAATCATAAAATAATAAAGTGAACAAACTTATCAACAGACGGATGTTCGAAAGCAGATCTGAAGTGGGGAAAAAGAAACTAAAAAGTGCTGCAAATGGCTTTAATATATAATAGGTATATGTATGGTATATATATATGACAGGTATAACCCTAAACCACTCAGAAAATTCATGGTGATTTCCCACTCCCTGAAATAAAGAGTGTCTTCAAAAAGAATACTCTTTAAAAAGACTTTACTTTTATTGGCGTTAAGTTTGCTGCTGACTTAAGGAGCAATTTTTAAGCTTTCATCACGAAAAGAAACTTGTCCTAGTGGCAACGGAAGGGTGCAGGTAACTGCATTCAGATTTGCCGTGCTGTGACCTTCTCTCACACCCGCAGTTACGTTGGCCAGCATGAAGGTTCTGTGCGGGGACGCTTGGGCTGCCAGCCTGCCTGGGGCACCCTGCCTCACCTGCTCCTGCCAGAGCCACCCGCTACAAGAACTCATCCTGCTGACACGTTTTCACTCTTCTGAAGGAAGCTGGCATTAGTGCTTCTGCCTCACAAACTGAGGAAAGCAGAAAAAATAAATAGAAACGGTGTTGCTTGCCTCTATTTTATTTCTTACTGAGTAGAATTATTGTAATATATTTTATCTGTATGTTGGTTCTGTTCTTCTGGGCTTTTTTAAGGTTCTGAAATGGGAATTGACTATTTACTTTTGGATATCAACAAATCCAGTGCGTTCCCTGCATGAATCATACAGTGGGATCAATTGTATATACAAAGTGTCTTTTGTTTCATTTTTCCTTTGCTTCCATAAAGGAAAACACAAACATAATATGTATGAGACTGAAAATGTGAGAGGTGAAAAAAACCAGTACAATAAATGTGATGAATAGTTTCACTTTTGAATGTAGATCTGTATGAGGATGTGATTTTGGATATTCTGCTCAGTAAAGAGTGCATCTTTCCAAAGAAATATGAAATGAACCAAGTAATCAAACCTAATCCAGCAGAAATAATGTTGCTGGAGGTAGAAAACGTGTTTGGGTCCCGATCCAGCATTGTTTATAAAGAGCATTTGTGCAAAAGTCTTTTAGCATCATCCTCAAAATTAAGATTTGACTCTCTTAAAGGCTCCATGTGCAATCTGAGACTCTGTGTTGACCAGAGGCCTCTAAGCAGAGGTGAAATATTGTAGGACCGGGTGCTAGTCCATCAACATACCTCACTCATGCTGTCATCATCATACAAGACTTCAGGCACTTCCAACCCACCCTGAATCAACACCCTGCCCTGGGGCTGAGGGACAAGGCATGTTGGGTGCAGGACCAGCCCAAAGAGCTGATCACTCATGGATCAAAGGGCCCATTGAATGCAGAATGACTGCCCAGGAATTTGGCAATTCAGATTACAACTCAGGTATTACCTGGCTTTCCCTTAAATTATAAACTTCACTTCAGCGTGGCGTTTTCCAGTGGAAATGGAATAAAGAGGGAGAAGATGAAAGAAATGGACAGTAACAAGAAGGAAGAAGGCATCTTTTGTATTTTGGTCTCCAGCTTTACAAAAAACTTGGCAGAGAAAACACAGAGTATATGATTTTTCCGGCAATAGTTTGCTCTGTCTGAAGTGCTCCTCTCAAAGGAAACTTGGCAGATATTTAAAAAAGAAATCCTGGCAGCAGTTTTAATAGCACAAAATATGAGCACAAGGCCTTATATAAATGAGGCAAGTCCCATGACATAAGCAAGTCTGGGGAGATAAACTTCACTTAAAGGAACCCTTTTCCTAATTAACTCAATGTTATGTAGTTACATATAATGAGCTATCTGAATTAATAAAGATTAGAAGACTTATTCTAGAGTAAGGGTGTCAGTGCCCAGATTGAATCAGGAATAGCTTCCCTTGCATATCGGCTCTTTGGTTGTGTGGAAGGAAGACAGAGACGTATGTTATGCTCTCACAACCACAAAACTAGAGGGAAATGTTGACAAGCTCCACCTTAGGAATGAGAAAACAAGAGGGAAATGCCATTTTCTATTTCCAGAGAGCAGATCCTACGCCTGATTTTGAAATATGCTAGCTCCACTTATTTATATCACTAACAGTGCTTCAGAAAGTACAAAGGAGCATCTGCTTTGAAATCAGTTTGTAGCTTTCTAACATTACAGATTGTTTTCCTTCACTAATTTGGGTGCAAACACAGTGCAAGTGCTGACACGTGCCTGGGTATGTGCTGCTCAGCTTGAGCACGGCGGCACCTGGCAGGATCACAACCCCTGCCGCAAGACAGACGGTCCCAGCAAGAGGGTAACCAGAGGGGCTGCAATGAGCTTCTCTTCAGAGACAACACAGTGAGCGAAGGCATTGCAGTCAAAACATCAGAGTTGTAATAAAACTCATTGAGCTTTTTGTTGTTTTTTTTTTTTTCCTTTTTCTTGGCCATTCTAGTGGCCAGATGGCAATCCTAATTCTTCTCAAAGAGAATTCTTTCTCTCTCCCACTTGGGGGAGATCCAGAACAGACAGATCCTGGAAGGAGACAATTTTTGGTTGTTTTCTGTGTTCCAATCTAAGGTTGATGACGTTTTCAGAGCAAAACTATTGGCAGACAAGTTGGGAGCTACATGAATTTCCATAATATTTGCAGACATCAGAAAAGGGCACCTGTGAAGATGGAATACGAGTGATTGCTGCTTGTCTTCCCTCGTTGTCATCTCAGTTGGTCTTAAGGGGACTGGTTTAAATATATGTGGAAATAGGGATGGACAGCTACATTTTTTCTGCTGTAATGAATTATTCACAATGTAAAATTAAATGTGAAATTTGCATGATTTAAGCACGTGATGTGACACCAAAACTGCTTCTTATTAACTGGGCATATTAAAATAACAAGACCTAAAGGTAAAGGGATGCCACAACGCCAAATGTATTAATTCCCTGTTAAACTGCTGTGGACCGCTGAAGAGGCACCAGTCATCTCCTAAAAGAGGCATTTCTGGGATGGTTTGTACAGTTTGTATAATGTTATTTCAATTAGGAAACCTCTTACCTTCAGTACACATCTTAAAGTAAATCAGTAAAAAAAAAAGTTACAAAAAAAAATCTCATTGAGTCATTTTGTGCTATAGGGTTACAGTAGTATTTAAGAACAAAAAAGAGTTTGCCCCCTAAGTACAACATTTTCAATGGTATTTATCACTGTTGTTGCATAACAATTTTTTTTTAGATTATTATTTTGGCATTATAAAACAGAAAATTAAACTTGTAAAATTTGTATCTAAATTATTTTTTAGAAATGTCAAAACTATTTAGAATTTCATTTGCAGATAGGTTTGAAATGTAGTTTTACTTCACATTGGTCCTACCTATAAAAAAATTTGAAGTCTAACACAAAACTGATTTTCTCTTTCACATTGCTGCAGGGTTGCTGTAATGCCATGGCCCAGAGACAATCACATTTTATAAACACAGGCTTCTGAGCAAGATTTACCTTACAGGCTGAAGAATTCCAAGAATAATGTCAAAGCTGCTTTCCCAGCATTATGAACACACCACACATCAAAACATATTGCTCACTTGAAAACCCTGCACATATACAGAAGTACTTTTGATTACTTATGTCTGAAGGATGCTTCTTCTAGCAAAATATTTAGTTGCATAAAACCTTTGTATTAGCTTGACAGAGCAAAGTACATCACTAGGGAAGTGCTGCAGAACTCCTTCAGAAGTAATTCAATTACAAAGTAAGCAAGGGAAAAAGAGTAAGAAGTTAATTAGAGGATAGTAGGAAAAAACTTCCAAAAATATTTTATTACTCAGAGGACTTTGTAAGTTGATGCAAATAATGATCTAGGAAGGAAATGCTCACAGAAAGTAAAACAAATTTTAGAATAATATCTGATCATTTTGGAACATTCTCGTATTAGAAACATGAATTACAGAGGATGAAAAAGCTCTCTGTAAAGAAACAATGTCTTGCAGGAATCTTTGCTGAAAGAAGGGCTGTTATTACACAATGAAAGTGGATCTTTAGACAAAAATTATCTTGGTAGCAATAAGACAATAATTACCTTGGCATATATGCAGCTTTCATTGAGTTTTTGTAGTGTGCAATTGCGTTCACACATAGGGCACATGATCGTTTCATTTGCCTCGCAGATCTCTTTACTTTAGCATGAGACAGGAAAATAAAAGTTACAACAAGGCTTTTAGCATTCTTAAGATTTTTCCGAGGTTATGCCATTTGTGTCCTCTACCTGTTAACAGTATGCCTACACCACAAAACTGGTTCAATGAAATAAATTAAAAGTTTGGTGTGAAAAGCCTAATCCAAAATCAGTAACCTGAACATTATGGGCCCTAGATTAGTACGCAGTATTTTGGGGCATCGTGCTACACTTGCAAATATGCCCTTCTCACCCAGGCATCACAAACAGAAGAAGAAAATACTGTTCACTACCTTCCAACCCATTTACTAGATATTTTTCTAAACAACACAGAAGATGCCACACTAAGAGGATGGACAGCACTGGTAGTACTGCACTGGTTTCAGTTTACATCAGCTGAAGATCCGTTCCACAGGATGATCGCATGCAGGCTTAGAGCAGCTGGTCACAAGTAATAGTCCACTAACAGGCAGAAGTATTTTAAGTCTTTGTGATTTTATTTCCTATGGAAGAACTTATGTATAGCACTAATGTTAATAATTAAGAAAAAAAAAAACAAGGAAAAAACACTTTAATATTCTACTTTCAGGGGAAAACATCCTCAAGCCATATTCCGATGTTTCAGGATTTAAGGATCCTAAGCCTTCAGAAGATCAAGTCACTGTAGTACATAAACAGCTGTCTTGAAAAGGCAAAACAGAATTAAGAGAAGTACACATTTTAACCGCAGTGAGCAAGCTCCCCAAAGAGCCTTAGCCCTTCCCTATCCTTCAGCAACGTTGACATGCCTAAAACGATCTTACGACACACTAGGAAAGTAGCAGCATAAAACAAATGCCAGGAAATCCCTACTAATTTGCTTTAATAAACAATGTGCTTTCACCCCCCAACTCGCAGAAGCTGAATTTACAATTCTACTACCGTATGGGAGATTATGCTTATTTCCAAATGAGTGCATCTATTAAATCCCACCTGACATAACAGTAAATACAAATAAAAGATTCTGGTTGCCTAGGTGCCACTTTTGTAACCTTTGGTCATATTTCACATAACATCAGAATCACTAATTCACCAAAGCCCTACAACATAAGGTCAGTCTGACAATGAAAGTGACCTAAGTAACCCTTAAGCCAGAATGAGCACAGCCAGTCATTTCCGAGCTGCAGAGCAACATAAATCTTAGAGCGTGTCACACTGGAGAATTTTCTTGCTTGTATTTTCATCCAAATGATTAATCACAGAAAATCGTATTTCAACAACATGTTATAATGGTTTGGCAATAATACAAACTGTTGTCAAATAGAAGACCTAACTGCATTGTATTTTGAAATTAAATTCAACACCATAAAGGTTAGATTTTCTGCGTTATACATCTTGAGTTAAAATCTTGGTTTGTTTGTAATAACATCTGAAGTTTCACAGAATTATACTGACAGTGAGAGGTCACAAGCTTTAGCACTACTCTGCAAAGCCAATGACATTTGTTACACAAGTGCTTGTGACAGGCGTTATGTTAACTGCTAACCTCAACTCAAATATTCAGTATAATAAAGGAAAATAAGCTTCTTTGTACTGTCCTCACTTACATAGCTGACATCTGACTACAGCACACGGTGCAAAGACACCTCAAGCTGTGCTGTGTTCATGCTTGGCCCTTCTGTTTGACTGGCAACTTAAACCAATGATAATTAATGATCAAAACCAAACTCTTTAAAACCATCAGGTTTTTACATAGACTAATCAATATGCAATAGCTTGACATCTACTTTGAGAATAAAGATAAGTGATAGACATTTGTTGAAAGTAATGGATAGGACAGTTGTTGAAAGAAAAGAATCCAGATGAAGGCACTTCTAAAGGACTATTTAAGTCCTCCCATTTGACTACCACTTCACATTTTCCCAAATTTAGCTCAGGGATGGCAAATGGATCAAAATATATTTAAAAGTATGAAAAAAAGAAAGAGAAACTCACATTCTGCATTTTTGTCTCTGCATGTCTGACCCCTACGAATACAGCCCAAATTCTCTGGAAGCTGCCACGGAGTTTCATGCAGAGATTCTCTGGATTTTTCTCTTGGTTACCTTCATCTCACAACTGAACTCCGCAACAAGCTGCCAACACTATAATCTCAGTACCCTGGGGGACCTTTGTGCCAGCTCCTGGCAGCCACAGTATCAGCAAGCTTTAATCCAAACACATGCAAAAAAAGAGAACATCCTCCGTTCCAATGCACTCTCAGCTACACTGCCTGTCTTATGTGCTTCTTTTGTGATAGGAAAGAAAAACGTCCCTAACCGTGTAGAATGGAGAAAGTTTTCTTTCTAAACATCGGACAAACATGTGTATTTGCTTATAATAGAGTCTAGTCCCTGAACTGACAGTGGGTGTGCAGGGCTTTTGTCTCCCCATCTTATTTCACCTTCCTCTTCCTTGTACAATACATTCGAATCATTGAATGATTCAATCAGACCTGAAAGTTTATTGTTTCTCTAAAACTGTAACTGAGGAAAGGAGAGAGAGAGAGACTACGACAAGGGTCAAAAGGCAGCATGAGGGAGGCACAAACCTGGGAATGAAGGAAGGGTACCACCAAAAGGGAGCAACTATGCTCAATTTCCATCTTGCTTGTGGTAGCCATGGATGAACTACAGTGAGCATCTTTCCTTTACATAGCAGGCAGGGACTGACAGCCCATCCCCATGCTGGGCTAAGATAAATTTATTTTATA